GATTGGAAACACTGGAGCGATGTGAGGAAGGAGTCACAAGCCAAGGAATGAAGACCTCCAGAAGGCAGAAAAAGCAAGGAATCTTCACTAGAGCTTCGGAAGGAAGGAACCCTGCCAACACCACTCTGACTTAAGCCCTGTGAAGCTCATTTCATACTTCTGGCCTCCAGAAGTAAGTGAATATATATATGTTGTGTTAAGTAACTAAGGTTATGGTAGGTTGCTATAGATGTGCACATATCGTCTTCAATCATGTTCCATCGAACTTAGGCACACAGCTACTCCTATCCGTACAGGGGCCAGGGAATGTAGTCTCTTTATGTGGCCAGGAAAAGAAAGAAAGAGGGTTGGGGCCCGTCGCCCCACCATCCCTTCATGGAGGCTTCCAGACCATGAATCCCACCAGCCAGACTGACCATCCTTCAGCTTCTCAAGAACACCACACTCCTGTCTTGTACCACCTCTTTTTTATTTTTTCAAGACAGAGTCTTGCCGGGCGCGGTGGCTCAAGCCTGTAATCCCAGCACTTTGGGAGGCCGAGGTGGGCGGATCACAAGGTCAAGAGACCGAGACCATCCTGGTCAACATGGTGAAACCCCGTCTCTACTAAAAATACAAAAACTTAGCTGGGCATGGTGGGGCATGCCTGTAATCCCAGCTACTGAGGAGGCTGAGGCAGGAGAATTGCCTGAACCCAGGAGGCGGAGGTTGCGGTGAGCCGAGATCGTGCCATTGCACTCTAGCCTGGGTAAAAAGAGCGAAACTCCGTCTCAAAAAAAAAAAAAAAAAAGACAGAGTCTTGCTCTGTCGACAGGCGCTGGGCTGGAGTGCAGTGGTGCATCTTGGCTCACTGCATCTCGCGTTCTGGGTTCAAGCAATTCTCCTGCCTCAGCCTCCCAAGTAGCTGGGACTACAGGCACGTGCCACTTAATTTTTGTATTTTGGTAGAGACAGGGTTTCACCATGTTGGTCAGGATGGTCTCGATCCTTAACCTCGTGATCCACCCGCCTCGGCCTCCCAAAGTGCTGGGATTACAGGCGTGAGCCACCGCATCCAGCCCCTCAAACATCTTTATAGCTACTGCAGCCTCAGCCTTTTAATGAGTTCTGTGGCAGGTGATGGTGGTTTTTCACTGGAATTTCTAAAAGCCTCCCATACCATGTTTACACCATTAGATTAAATGCAATGGGGGAAAGAGATTTTTTTTTCTTCTTTTTTGGAGATGGAGTCTCACTCTATTACCCATGCTGGAGTGCAGTGGTGCAATCTTGGCTTACTGCAACCTCTGCCTCCCACATTCAAGTGATTCTCCTGCCGCAGCCTCCCAGGTAGCTGGGACTACAGGCATGTGCACCACACCTGGCTAATTTTTGTATTTGTAGTAGAAACAGGGTTTTACCATGTTGGCTAGGCTGGTCTCAAACTTCTGGCTTCAAGTGGTCCACCCACCTCGGCCTCCCAAAGTGCTGGGATTACAGGCATGAGCCACCACGCCCAGCAGAGATATTTTTAGTAATTTAGAATTTATTGCATGTGGCCAGTATGCTTTTAAAATGAGAATACACATGTTCTATTTTACTGTCCTTTTTAGAAACTGTAAGGCAAAGGAAATTGTGTAGATAGCAAGGTCAGAGAAGAGACCAAAAAATGTGGCTGTAGAATATAAAAGAGTAAGTAATTCAATGCATTTTCTGAGTCATAAAGGAGAAAGAAACCTTAGGAGGTCATTTGGCTGAACTCTCTGCTTCTGAAAGCTCTAGACTGAAATCATCTCAGATGCAGTTGGTGAGGGGGGTCTGATGAGAAGCGGGGAGAGGAGGAGACAAGAAGAAGGCCAGTAAGTGTGATCTATTCTAAGACCTCTAGGCGTGGAGATGAGAAAAGGCCTTTTCAAAGTTTTGTTCCAGTCCTCAGAAGATCTCTGCATAGCTGAAATACTCAGTGCTAATATTGGCTAGAAACTTTACATATGGAAGAACTTCCAGCATCCAACTCAGCTGTCTTCTAATTTTAAGGAAGAGCCGAGGGTTGGGAAACTTCTGGGCCTCAATCACACTCCAGGGAAAGCTAAAGTTCAACATCTCCCCTTACCTGACTGGGCTGAAATGCCAGATTAGAAAAGGGGCAGCTTGGCTGGGTGTAGTGGCTGACGCCTGTAATCCAAGCACTTTGGAGGCCAAGGCAGTCGGATCACCTGAGGTCAGGAGTTCAAGACCAGCCTGACCAACATGGTGAAACCCTGTCTTTATTTAAAAAAAAAAGAAAAGAAAGAAAAAGAAAAGGGACAGCCCTCCAAACAAGTCATCTCTGCGTTCTAAAATGGGAATAAAATGAGAAACAGGGCAAGAACCTCCCCTTACCATCAGCAGTTGCTTCAGAGTGTTTGATGCCCCAATTCCCTTCAAACGTAAAGAAATCTAGATCCCTGTGCCTGTCCATTCCCTCCTCCTATCTCTCTCACTTCACCCTTTTCTCCTCACCTAACCTTGTCTCCTCCTCTTCTCTAGACTCAGGGCAAGGTCTTAGGAGCAGGCAGGAATATCTTGTTTACAATCCTCAGAGCTTGATACTGTTTTCTAACTAGACTACCCAAATGTCTTTCAAAAAAGGGCAAGTAACTACTCTCTCTTGTCATGGGGCAGTAAATCTCTAGAGTTTTAGTCCAGAGATAGGAAGCTAGCGAACAAAATTTGAAGAAGTGTTTAAATTCATTGTTTTAATATTTACAAAAACAAGTCCTGTTTCACTAACGAGCGGCAAATCCAAGACTCAAACGCAGTTTGTCTGACTTAAGTCTTTGCACTTGAAGAAAATCATTCTTTAACTCTTCTGCTCAAGGTCAGTCTTGCTTTATATTCCCCAGCTTTTTACTTCTTTCGTCGTTGTTGTTGAGATAGGATCTTGCTCCGTTGTTCAGGCTGGAGTGCAGTGGGGCGATCTCAGCACACTACAATCTCTGCCTCCCAGGTTCAAGCGATGCTCCCACCCTCTCGGCCTCCCGAGTAGCTGGGACCACAGGTGCGTGCAACCCCCATCTAATTTTTTGTATTTTTTGTAGAGACGGGGACCATGTTGCCCAGACTGATCTGAAATTCCTGGGCTCAAGCAGTCTACCCACTTTGGTCTCCCAAAGTGCCGGAATTATAGGCATGAGCCACTGTGCCTAACCAATTCTATTTTACTGCAATTCATTTAAAACTACTGTTGGGGTCAGGTGTAGTGGCTCAGGCCTGTAATCCAAGCACTTTGGAGGCCAAAGCGGGCAGATCACCTGAGGTTGGGAGTTCAAGACAAGCCTGACCAACATGGTGAAACCCCGTCTTTATATATATATATATATATATATATATATATTTTTTTTTTTTTGAGACGGAGTTTCGCTCTTGTTACCCAGGCTGGAGTGCAATGGCGCGATCTCGGCTCACCGCAACCTCCGCCTCCTGGGTTCAGGCAACTCTCCTGCCTCAGCCTCCTGAGTAGCTGGGATTACAGGCATGCGCCACCATGCCCAGCTAATTTTTTGTATTTTTAGTAGAGATGGGGTTTCACCATGTTGATCGAGATGGTCTCGATCTCTTGACCTCGTGATCCACCCGCCTCAGCCTCCCAAAGTGCTGGGATTACAGGCTTGAGCCACCGCGCCCGGCTTATATATATATTTTTTAAAAACTACTGTTGGATTCCATTAAAGACTTACTATGCTACTGCTATGGTGGATTTATTCCTGCCCTTAAGGAGATTTAAATTCTTTGGGATTTCTGCTCACCATGATTTCCTGCATTATCCCCACCTTCAACTCTGAATGTTTTTTTCTTTGTAAATGAACCTCCTTGAATCAGCTTAATTTAAATGTCATCTGTTTCCTATTAAGCCTTGATTGATAGAAAGGATCTGCTGGAACTCATGTGGCAGGTGACTAGCTGAGGCATGTGCCCCTTCTAGAGTTCAGAGTTATTGCTGCCCAGAGCAGGGGTTACATTTCCCACACCTGCTGCCTCAGGATGGGCCACAGGACCAATCCAGGCTCAAGTGATGTTCCTGCTGCCAGGTTTTGGCCTGCAAGACTGTCCATTTGATCCTGGTGCTCTCTCTGCCCTCACTCAACAGCATCTGCACATCTAGGGCAAGCATTCTGAATCCTTTTGTGCTGTAGATGCCTGAATCCCTTCTCAGAATAATGCTTGTTTAAAAATAAGCTTTTTAGGCCAGGTGTGGTGGCTTGCGCCTATAATACTCGCTCTTTGGCAGGCCGAGGCAGGCGGATCACTTGAGGCCAGGAGTTCGAGACCAGCCTGGCCGACATGGTAAAACCCTGTCTCTACTAAAAATACAAAAATTAACCATATGTGGTGGCATGCACCTCTAATCCCAGCTACTTGGGAGGCTGAGGCAGGAGAATCACTTGAACCCAGGAGGCAGAGGTTGCAATGAGGTGAGATCACGCTCCACTGTACTCCAGCCTGGGTGACAGAGCAGGACCCTGTCTAAAAAAATGAAATAAATAAAGAAAAATAAGCTCTTTATTTTTCAATAATTTTATATTTACAGACAAGTTGCAAAGATAATAAGTACAGTTCCGCATGCTCCTTACTCAGTTTCAGTTTCTCTAAAACGGTCATCCTACGTTACTATGGTACATTTGCCAAATTAAGAGACTAACATTGGTACATTATTGTTAACTGGACTCCCGACTGCCACTAGCTTTTCCACCAATGTCCTTTTTCTGTTCCGGGATCTAATCCAAGAAACCACGTTGTATTTAGTTGTCCCCACTGGTCTGTAGTAGTGTCTCAATCTTCCCTTTTTTTTCGTGACTTTGACAGTTTTGCAAAGTATTGATCAGGTATTTTGCAGAATTCCAGAGAAATGATTAAATGCATAAAATTGAGTCATAAAAGAAGAAAATCATATTAAATATAGGTATTAACATATTTGTAGAGACAAGGTCTCACATTAACACGGCATTAATTTTGTTTTGTTTTGTTTTGTTCTAAATCAGTCTCTGTAGAGATTGTCATAAATTGCCAGTGCCAAGTGTATTGCAAGTTGTCATGGCGGGGTATTGGGAAAAGCTTTCAGTTAGCAATAATTGCACCTCGGATAAACCTCATTGGCTATGATACTGCCACTGCACAAAGCTCATGGTGTTAATGTTAATGTGAGACCTGACCATGTTAACGTGAGACCCTGTCCCTTTGATCCTGGTGCTCTCTGTACCCTCACTCAACAGCATCTGCAGCTCTAGGGCAAGCATTCGGAATCCTTTTCCACCAATGTTCTTTTTCTGTTTGGGATCTAGTACAAGAAACCACACTGTATTTAGTTGTCTCCTCTGGTCTGTGGTAGTGTCTCAGTCTTCCCTTTTTTTCATGACTTTGACAGTTTTGAGGAGAATCGAAATCCTCACAAACAATTTTAAAAGGCCAGGCACAGTGGCTCACACCTGTAATCCCATACTTTGGGAGGCCTAGGAGGGAGGATTGATCGAGCCCAGGAAATAAAGACCAACCTGAGCAACACAGGGAGACCCATCTCTACAAAAAAAATTTAAAATTAGGCTGAACATGGTGGCTCATACCTGTAATCCCAGCACTTTGGGAGTCCAATGTGGGTGGATCAAGAGGTCAAAAGTTGGAGACCAGCCTGACCAACATGCTGAAACCCCATCTCTACTAAAAATACAAAAATCAACTGGGCACGGTGGCACATGCTTGTAGTCCCAGCTACTCAGGAGGCTGAGGCATGAGAATCGCTTGAACCTGGGATGCAGAAGTTGCAGTAAGTTGAGATCGTGCCCCTGCACTCCAGCCTGGGCCATAGAGTGAGACTCTGTCTCAAAAAAAAAAAAAAAAATTAGCTGGGTGTGGTGGCATGTGCCTGTGGTCTCCACTACTGGGCAGGCTGAGGTAGGAAAATCACTTGAGCCTGCGAGGTGGAGGCGGCTGTGAGTTGTGTTCTCGCCACTGCCTTCCAGCCTTGGTGACAGAGTGAGACTCTGTCTCAAAAAAAAACAAAAACAAAAACAAACACAAACAAAAATATAGAATAGGCTGGGCATGCTGGGCGTGGTGGCTCAAGCCTGTAATCCCAGCACTTTGGGAGGCTGAGGCGGGTGGATCACGAGGTCAAGAGATCGAGACCATCCTGGTCAACATGGTGAAACCCCGTCTCTACTCAAAATACAAAAAACTAGCTGGGCGTGGTGGCACGTGCCTGTAATCCCAGCTACTTAGGAGGCTGAGGCAGGAGAATTGCCTGAGCCCAGGAGGCGGAGGCTGCGGTGAGCCGAGATCCCGCCATTGCACTCCAGCCTGGGTAACAAGAGCGAAACTCCGTCTCAAAAAAAAAAAAAAAAAAGAATAGGCTGGGCATGATGGTTCACACCTGTAATCCCAGCACTTTGGGAAGCCAAGGCAGGTAGATCACTTGAGCCCAGGAGTTCAAAACCAGCCTGGCCAAGATGGTGAAACCCCATCCCTATTAAAAATACAAAAATAGAAAATTAGCCAGGGTTGGTGGTGTGCACCCATAGTCCCAGCTACTAGGGAGGCTGAGGCAGGAGAATCACTTGAACCCAGGAGGCAGAGGTTGTGATAAGCCGAGATCATATCATAGCACTCCAACGTAGGTGGCAGACTGAGACTCTCTGTCTCTTAAAAAATGTATATATATGGGCTGGGCGCGGTGGCTCAAGCCTGTAATCCCAGTACTTTGGAGGCCGAGGCGGGTGGATCACGAGGTCAAGAGATTGAGACCATCCTGGTCAACATGGTGAAACCCCGTCTCTACTAAAAATACAAAAAATTAGCTGGGCATGGTGGCGCGTGCCTGTAATCCCAGCTACTCAGGAGGCTGAGGCAGGAGAATTGCCTGAACCCAGGAGGCGGAGGTTGCAGTGAGCCAAGATCGCGCCATTGCACTCCAGCCTGGGTAACAAGAGTGAAACTCTGTCTCAAAAAAAAAAAAAAAAAAAAACAAAAGCAACAACAACAACAACAAAAAAGAAACAGCTAAAGAGGAGAACTCAATGCCTGGCTTCAAAGCTTCAGAGGACAAACTTCTTAGGAACTAAACCAGCTGGTGACTTTCAATTAAAGCCAATGCTCATTTACCATTCCAAAAATCCCAGGGCCTTTAAGAATTATGCTAAATCGGCCAGGCGCGGTGGCTCAGGCCTATAATCCCAGCACTTTGGGAGGCCAAGGCGGGTGGATCACGAGGTCAAGAGATTGAGACCATCCTGGTCAACATGGTGAAACCCCGTCTCCACTAAAAATACAAAAATTAGCTGGGCATAGTGGCACATGCCTGTAGTCCCAGCTACCCAGGAGGCTGAAGCAGGAGAATTGCCTGAACCCAGGAGGCGGAGGCTGCGGTGAGCCGAGATCGCACCATTGCACTCCAGCCTGGGTAACAAGAGTGAAACTCAGTCTCAAAAAAAAAAAAAATTATGCTAAATCAGCTGGGCACGGCGGCTCAAGCCTGTAATCCCAGCACTTTGGGAGGCTGAGGCAGGTAGATCACAAGGTCAGGAGTTTGAGACCAGCCTGGTTAACATGGTGAAACTCCATCTCTCTATAAATACAAAAATTAGCTGGATGTGGTAGTGAGTGCCTGTAATCCCAACTACTTGGGAGGCAGAAGCAAGAGAATTGCTTGAACCCAGGAGGCAGAGGTTGTGGTGAGCCGAGATTGCGCCACTGCACATCAGCCTGGGTGACAGAGGGAACCTCCTTGTCTAAAAAAAAAAAAAAATCCATTTTTTGACAGTGATCATAAAGATAATTTAAAAAAAAAAATCCAGATTCCATAATACAGAAAAAAGTGGAAGTTGAAAAGGCTACACACACACACACGCGCACACACACACACACACACACACACACACAGACACAGCACACATACACACGGAAGGAAAAGGGGAAGTCACAACTTTATAGAAGCAGTAGATGTTTTATTTGGGGAAAGTGCATTTTTTATTCTGAAGGTAGGAATTCTTTTTTCTTTCTTTTTAGAGATAGGGTCTCATTCTGTTGCTCAGACTGGAGAGCAGTATCATGATTACGGCTCACTGAAGCCTCAGACTTGGGCTCAAGTGATCCTCCTACCTCAGCCTCCCAAGTAGCTAGGAGTACAGGTACATGTCATTACACCCATCTAATTTTTTAAAAATGTATTTTAGAGAGATGGAGTCTTGCTAGGCTGCCGCTAGCTGGCCTAAGCTGGCCTCTAACTCCGGGCCTCAAGCTATCCTCTCACCTAAACCTTCTGAGTCGCTGTGATTACAGGTGTGAGCCACTCTGCCCAGTTGAAATTCTATTTTTTTTTTTTTTTTTTTTTGAGACAGGGTCTTGCTCTGTCACCCAGGCTGGAGTACAGTGTTATGATCTCGGCTCACTGCAACCTCTGCCTCCTGGGTTCAAGTGATTCTCCTGCCTCAGCCTCCTGAGTAGCTGGAATTACAGGCATGTGCCACCATGCCCAGCTGATTTTTGTATTTTTAGTAGAGATGGGGTTTCGCCATGTTGGTCAGGCTGGTCTCAAACTCCTGACCTCACGATCTACCCACCTCAGCCTCCCAAAGTGCTGGGATTACACGCATGAGCCACTGTGCCTAGCCATGCGCCCAGCTGAAATCTGAAATTTTTGTTTGTTTTGTTTTTGAGATGGAGTCTTGCCCTGTCACCCAGGCTTGAGTGCAATGACCTGATGTTGGCTCACTGCAACCTCTGCCTCCTGGGTTCAAGTTTTTCTCTTGCCTCAGCCTCCCGAGTAGCTGGGATTACAGGCATCGGCCACCAGGCCTGGCTAATTTTTTGTATCTTTAGTAGAAACAGGGTTTTATCATGTTGGCCAGGCTGGTCTTGAACTCTTGACCTTGTTATCGGCCCACCTCAGCCTCCCAAAGTGCTGGGATTACAGGTGTGAGCACCATGCCTGGCCAGTCAAAATTCTTAAAGAGAAATAGTGGATTACTTGCTGCACAGAGTACAACAATTTTGTAAAAATTTAAAACCTTCTTTTCCTATGATTAAAAAAACACAACTAAGTCTTATATTGCACAGTAGGTGTATTCTCAGCAATATGACTAAAAACAGAATTTTGGGAAATGAAATATTTTAGATGCTTTTCTGACTTTAAAAAATAGAGTCATTTCTGGGTATAATTCTTCTGAAAGGTAATTGAGGGACTTTGGGAATCTTAAATTTGAGCCCCCCCCACACACACTTTTTTTTTTTTTTTGAGACTGAGTCTCACTCCGTTGCTCTGGCTGGAGCACAGTGGCCTGATCTTGGCTCACTGCAACCTCCGCCTGAGTAGCTGGGACTACAGGCATGCACCACACGCCTAGCTAATTTTTGTATTTTCAGTAGAGACAGGATTTCACCATGTTGGCCAGGCTGGTCTTGAACTCCTGATCTCAAGTGATCCACCCACCTCTGCCTCCCAAAGTTCTGGGATTACAGGTGTGAGCCACTGTGCCTGGCCTTGAGCCTTTATATTAATTTTGCTGACAACTTATTAGTGTCATGTTTTAGGCCCTTTCTTTTTTATATTTCTCCAGGTCTTATCTCTTGTGCTTCCACTGCAGATCTGTGATGGAGGAATGAGGTCATAAAATCATCAATATTGGCCGGGTGTGGTGGCTCAAGCCTGTAATCCCAGCACTTGGGAGGCCGAGGTGGGTGGATCACGAGGTCAAGAGATCGAGACCATCCTGGTCAACATGGTGAAACACCGTCTCTACTAAAAATACAAAAAATTAGCTGGGCATGGTTGCAGGTGCCTGTAATCCCAGCGACTCAGGAGGCTGAGGCAGGAGAATTGCCTGAACCCAGGAGGCGGAGGTTGCGGTGAGCCGAGATCGAGCCATTGCATTCCAGCCTGGGTAACAAGAGCGAAACTCCATCTCAAAAAAAAAAAAGAAAAAATCATCAATATTGAAGTGTAATTTAGAAATGATTTAATAGCATGCTGCTGCTGTTCCAGTCATGGAGCAAAATTAAATCGTCGTCTATGTCTCTCCCTTTAGGAACCTCTATTAAAAATAGGAAAGCCGGGTGCGGTGGCTCAAGCCTGTAATCCCAGCACTTTGGGAGGCCGAGGCGGGTGGATCACGAGGTCGAAAGATCGAGACCA